TGAACCTAATTTTCCACGACCTCATAGGCCGGACCGTTGAAGTCTACATCGACGACGTGGTTGTAAAGTCCCCATCCAAAGCCGACCACATAGAACATCTCCGGCAAGCTTTTGACCGAATGCGGGCGCATGGCCTAAAGATGAACCCAAAGGAATGTGCTTTCGGCGTCACCGCCGGGAATTTCCTCGACTTCTTGGTTCACCAACGAGGAATCGAGGTAGATAAAAATAAAGCTACGGCCATTATGGCGGCTCCTCCGCCAAGAACCAAGAAGGAGCTCCAGTCCTTCCTCGGTAAGGTGAACTTTTTACGGCGTTTCATATCCAATATGGCGGGAAAAATTCGGCCGTTGTCTCCCTTGCTCAAACTCAAAGACACGGAACGGTTCGTATGGGGGGCCGAACATCAGGCGGCCGTTGTCTCCCTTGCTCAAACTGAAATACGCCGCCGAAAAGGGGAAAACCATTGAGGCTTTACATTTCGGTTTCAGAGGGCTCTATCGGCTGTCTACTGGCTCAGAACAACGAGTCTGGGCGCGAATAAGCAGTACACTATCTAAGCCGCACCCTCAACATGGCCGAATTGAACTATTCACCGATCGAAAAATTATGCCTAGCACTTTATTTCGCGGTCACCAAGTTGCGGCATTATATGCTTCCTTCGGTTGTTCAAATCATCTCTAAGACCGATCTCATCAAATATATGCTTACCCGACCGATCATACGCGGCCGAATTGGGAAGTGGACGATGGCATTGTCCGAATTTACCTTTCAATACGTGGCTCAGAAATTGGTCAAGGGTCAGGCTTTGGCCGATTTTCTGGCTCATCACCCGGCCCAGGGACAAGAGGAGGAGTTGGAGGTCGAGATCGGTATGGCCCGCATGGAAAAGAATTTTTGGACCATGTACTTTGACGGCTCCAGCACCGAGGCCAGGTCAGGAGCTGGAGTTGTAATTGAATCTCCCCAAGGGCAGAAGTGGCAGTTCGCTTTCCAACTCGATTTCAAATGCACTAATAATCAGGCTGAGTACGAAGCGCTCATCATTGGTCTCGAGATTTTGAAAGAAATGAAGGCAACCCGTGTTGCTCATCATCGGTCTTGAGATTTTGAAAGAAATGAAGGCAACCCGTGTTTTGGTCTACGGCGACTCTCAGCTGGTGATTAACCAACTGACTGGGGAA